AAACGCTAATTTATTTGATTCGACGCGATTGTACCGTCAGTAGCCGTACTACATGGGGCGTCAGAATACAATTACTAGATATCCAAACTCTTTATAAACAAATAAAAATATTCTCAAACGTTTCTGAATTCAAAACTCGTCCGAATCGTAACTTGCTCGTATTTCGTTTAAGTGCTTCAACCGCAGCCGATTTGAGAAGAATTTTCTCTGTTTCTTCATCCTCAGATTTCCATTCTGAAACTGTCAAGCATTATTCATCCTCATCATCAAGAATACTTAATACAATATATCCTTTTCCTTGTAATACGTTTATAAAGGCCGATGATTTGCGCCAATTCCATCCAACCCAATGTTCAAAATAAGATGGCGAGCGTTCAAATTGCAACGGACGCACGTTATTCTCATAAAGTGTTGACAAGTCAGGAAAGTTCACCATTGATGTAAACGGTATCCATTTGCTGGTATTTTTGGTGATTGTGTTACCAACATATATTCTGCTTATAGAAGTCGAATCAAAAATCCAAACGAATTGATATTTGTAGAAGTAAGAGTGTTAGAAGGTGTTACGTAATAGTTCTTTTCTTACGCGAGATACTTTGCTGTAATCGATTTTGTTCACATCACATGTTATGATATGATGACGTATGGAGATCAATATGTTTATTCTTCTTTCTTAATCTTCTGACGTCATGATATCACGTTATCCAGTTCTTTTGACACCATTAGATCCTTTTCTAATCCTTTCTCGGACTTTCGGTGATACGTATATATAGCTGGATTTTTGCGAATGTATAGAGGGGTGTCAGAATATCACTACGCAGTGTATTCTCAAAAAGAGACTTTTTTTCAAACCTGCTGGGCTTGGTGCATTCTCGTGCATTCCCACTGAGAATACACCAAACCCAGCAAGTGTATTCTCACTGACAATACACGAGAATATACCAGAATACGCAAATATGTAAATTTCTATAATATGTGCTGGGCTTGGTGTATTGTCATTGACAATACACCAATGTTGCATACTAACTCACTCTCATGTTGCACCTCCCCCCGCCGACCGCGACACTATACTATGTCTTGTCAATATTTGCGTATTCTGGTATATTCTAGTGTATTGTCAGTGAGAATACACCAAGTCCAGCAAGCCCAGCAAATAGTGTCTTTTTGAAAGTACACTGCGTACTGATATTCTGACATCTCTGAATGTATAACATAGTAATTTGTTACTGAATAAAGTGAACAAGTTAGGACATTAATCAAGAGAGTTTTATTATATAACAAGAGCCCTCATCGTTATACATCTACACACCAAATTTCAACTTTCCACTATATGTCGTTACGAGAAGCAGGCTTTGAAAGTCGAAAGTATGTGATTACATTACCTAGAGGCCGTATTATCCTGTTTAATCTGATTCTGTATGGTGTAAATCAGTAGTTTCATCTCGTTTTCTTGGATCCCAGACGCTTAATGATTTTACAAATTCTGTTATACCGCAATTACCCCAACATATCCAGCCCCAACCACTTCGTTCTTCTAACATCGCCTGTCTTACTTGATGACGAAATTCTTTTGCTTCTTGATCATCTATCCATATCTCTGGTAGATACGATAGAATTTTTACTATAACAAGTTCATCTAATTGTCGACCATTTTTTAACACTCTTTGACTACATTCAATTAAAAGCTTTTTAGCAGTTTCAGCTGATATCATTGCTATTGTTGGATTTCTTAAAAGTATGGGCTTTGATGGATCAACAATAAAAAAGTTTATGAATGTTCGTCGACGATTATCTTCTTTGGTTAGGTTACGTATTTGCCGAAAACGATGTGGCGTGGAATTGTGGAAGACAATAGCAGCACCAGTGCCAACATTCACTTCATAATCGGTTTCAATATCATAAGTATATTGTGGTGTCTCAGGTGGGCGAAATTTCAAAGCCCCACCCTTCAGTTGTTCGTCAACATGTAAATAATAGACACCAACCGCCACAATATTCTCAGTTTGACCTTCGGTGTGCCATCGGCCTGAGTATTTCATTCCTTGAACAGCAAAAACCTCGAAGAATTGTGAGTATGATTTGAAGATAAAGACGCTTAATACAATTTTGATCTTGATTTTCCTTATTTAGCACCAACTACGTCATTGATATTGCAGCTAGTTACCGGTGTCCAATGAATATGTTTCTTGCACGGCAAATAAAACCTAAGTTAAGGAGCTGCTTCTTCCGGAAATAGCGTTTTGTTAAAAACTTTACAAAGGCCGCCCTCGTACGTCAAAATAACCGTGAAATCTGTTTTGAGAATCTATATTGTTTTTGCTAGTTGTGAAGATTTTTGAATGCTCTCAAAACATTTGTCGAAATCTCCGAAATTATGGGTTTTTGTCTACTAATAAAATATCTGCATCATGAAACAAAGATGTTTTTTAGTAGATCCGGAATAGAATATTTTAGCTAGAACATCTACTGGCCTGGTCATTATTCTCTGTAAGTCTGAACAGGATTCGATATGCTGCATAGATATTCATCTCATAAGAAGTACAACACAAGTAAAACGACCTTTCGGCGGTAAGCTTTCTCAGGAGGTTTGTTTTAGGTGTGTTGAGTCAAACAGAGTGATAATAGGAAGAGAACTGTGAAGAGAAATTCTGTGTAAGAAACGCTACGTTTTGACCACTTTTTTAGATAACTCTGAAAAAAGTCAAGTTTTCAAGTTTAAATGTTTATTCTAATCTAATGTGCGTAAGACTAACGTTGAACAGAAACTTGGTTACGTTCTCGTGTTTTGTGTCGAAAGTAGATTTCCGACACAGCTCTCAAAAGAAAATGTATTTTTTTTGTTATTTTTGGAGCATGCGTTTGTTTTGACGAAAACGTTCACTTGAGTTCGTTAGACTTTTCTTCATATTACAACTGTTCTACGCATACCTGATTTCATATTATAACTTTGTGCTTTAACAATAACTTGTAATTTTGTTTCATCTTCATCTTGCTTATAACCAATTAAGCCCATTTTTTCAAACATTGGTATCATTTTACTAAATATTGTTGCTATATCACCATAAATTTGCCTGTTTTCTGGTATAATTGGAAGATGATGTATGGGTGATAAAATATCAACTTTACCATTTGATTTTGTTAGAACGAATTCTGATGGTAACCATTGATACGTTTCACGTAGTTTAACATGTTTAGATAAATCATTGTATCCACCATTAGCTAAATTCCGTTTAAAATGCCTTAAGTTGTATTCATTATTTTTCAATTTATCTTGTTGTTGTTCTATCCATTTCTGGCGGTCAAATGATGGTGGACAATTAGGTAATAGATCAGGATCAATAATATCTTCAACTGGTCATGGCTCCTGATGAAAATCTTGTCGTTGCTCATTTAACGTGTATAATGCTTGTGTTAAACGCTGACGTCGTGATTCCGATATTGATAAATGTTCATTAATCCATACTGGATAAACTAATGAACTTGATCCACCGCCCCCATATGTAACGTAACGATCACCGGCAAGGCGATAAAAGTCCGGTTTCTCTGGTAATACAGCATTATCAAGAATGAGTTCAATTATCCACTCACGCTCTAATGCCAGCCACTTACACACCCATGCTGGTTTCATTGTTTTATAATGTGACTCCGATATATCAAAGTAAGCATTCCATGGTTGTTGGTCATTGCTCAAGTCGACTTCATCTTCTTTCAGCCAACCTTTGATTTTATGATCGATTGTACTATAATCAACAACATAAATCTGACAAGGAACATGTATTTCAGGGTTATTATGATAAAGATTATTCCAATAATCGTTACTATATATATCATATTCTTCATTTTTGTTATCATTATTGTCATGCGAAATTTGAATCCATTGACCGACAAGAGCTGAAAAATTACTGACATAGACTCTATCGCGTGCGTTTTTACTGCAACTAATATTCGACGCCATGTATTTCTAGAAAATCAAAAGCTCATATATTTTAATGAAGCCTGAGGAAGTTGGCATTCTGTAGAAGTGTAGATGCTTTATAACATTGTTATATAGTATCTCAGACTTAGATTATGCAATAATAGCCTGTAGGGCGACCGATCATTGTTGCTTTTGTAGATGGAGCAATGTCCCTAAAAGAGTTACTATTCATTCGAGCGGAATCTCACCCGACAGCTGAGAAAGTTTCACTTGAAGTGAGTTCGAAGTCTATTCTATGAGATTCAAAGTAGATATATATAAAAATCGAAGTTACTCAAGCGATTGAACGTTAGAGCAAAAAAAAAACGAAAGTTAGAGCATACAACCATCTACAGCATGTTATGTGCTATCGACGCACTCATATTCTTTTACGTATCATTCTTATCGTCATGTGTATCTTACATTATCTATGATTCTAAGGAATCTAAATGAAGCTTGTCAATATTGGATGTAAAGTGGGATCTGTGAAATCATCAGCACCTGCGAGAGGACACCCGCTACCGTGAGACAAAGTGCGATTTAGTGGATTTAGTTTGTTTAATCTATATTAAAACAGAGATCTTTTGATTGGGACCAATTCTGCGTGAACAGGAAATAGATGTAAAAATTTGAATAGTTTACCGCTAATGTTTCTTATAAACCCATACGTCCTCCAGCCAAGGGAGAAAAGCGGACTCCTGGACTCCCATGGACTCCTGAAGTCCAGGAGTCCGCTTTTTCCCCTTGCCTCCAGCACAGAGTCCTATAAATATCGTACCAGAGGAAGGACTGTCTCACTTTTAGAGTATCAGGGGTACGTTAAGAAACTTTTCATCCATCTTACCCCTATAAGTTTTCACTCTTTATTTGAAGGTGTGGCATAATAGGGATCAAAACTTGTTGTATTTTTGCAAAAAAACAATCAAAAATTTTCAATTAGAATCTCTTATCGGTATAACGGACTGATTTATTTTCTTTTTTCAGATGAGCTAGCTTACTATTCCTTATTAGTGATGATTTGCTGTAAAAATTGAAAATTTTTTGATTTTTTACTATTGCATAGTTTATTTTTATAATTTCGCAATAATGCAGAAAGAATGCAGAATGAGAAAAAAAAGCACTGTAAGTGCCTTTTCTTTTTATTACAACAAAAGCTTATTCATACATATATTACGATTAATAAGTGGAACGAATAGAAAAAGTAGTTTTCGCTTTTAGAAGGTCAAACTAAGTAAAAAGAGGGTATACGTTTTTCTGATCACCAAAAGAAGATACTTTTGTTCACCAAAAGTTTTCAGCATGCATCCAATTTTTATTTCTCAACAAGATATAATGTACAACACAAACCTATTCACTCAAAATATTAACCAAATGAATAATATTTTTACAGTTTTATTTATATCTATTCAAAAAAGTTTAAAGCTGTGCTAACATCCTTGGGACGCCCTTTAGGTTTTCGTTTGTCCAATAGTTGAATACGTGTTTTATTGCTAACTTGATACAAGTTAAATAAAATTGCTAATCCAACAGAATGTTTACACGAATATACTTACATGCCAACCGGACAGCTACATGATTGTAATGATACAACAGGCTAGGTATTTATCGTTCTCGTCGGTGGCTTATACTCATTGTATCGTCGGCTTTCTTTCTGTTATTGTGTAATTACATAACTGCTGGTAACCATATTACTCACCTTGAGGATATAAAAAAGATATGTAGAAGAGATCGCTGCGTAACAACATTTTATAGAGCAGAAAATAAATTCAGATCTATTAAACAAGAAAAAATGTCCTTTTCCTCTAAATTCGACTAAATCTACATTAAATTAACCTGAAGAGCAATTTCAGCTAAAATAAAGAAAGGAAAAAAGCAATAGTAGTCTTTTTTAATATTCCAGGTAAGCCCAAAACTAATTGAAGAGTCATTCTGACTATTATCGCCGCCAAACCGTGGCAATATTTATATTCTTTAGTAGGGTGCCGTTTTTCGCAAAATCCATTTTTTCTCATATCATCATGTAAAACTAAAATATTCATACGGCACTTCTTCTAGTCTAAAATAAATGCACCTCTCGGAAATTGTCCAAAACAAATCATAGATTATAGATCAAGCCCGAAAGATTGATTTTGAGCTACGAACTGACCAGGAGATTTCCAAAAGACTGCTTAAAAGCCGTTGAGACAAAGAATTCTCACAGCGATCCACCACAAGCGCCATATTTTAATTTGAACAAAACACATATTTCCTGCAAATAAGTTCACTTTAACTTTGCTTTGAAAGTTAAAGTTTTCGCTAACTTTGAAAAATCTAAAGTTAAAGTTTCTACTTTATGTTTTTACATATCCTGCATCGTTTGAACATACAGGATCACATCAATCAAAAGATGTGATCCTGTAGATAATAAAGTGCAATAGTATCACGTAAGTTAAAGTACTATCAACTTTAAACTTACTTTAACTTTCTAGATATTTCTTTCTGCATTTTATTTATTTGTGTACAGCGAACTGTTTTACTTAAGAATAACTTGAGGTTCCACATATCATAATAGAGGTCACTTGTATGTACCAGATGAAAAGTGATCAAAGTGCTCTATTACCCAAATCATTTCTGTTTTTTTTCAACAAAATATGTTTGAATATGAAGAATAAATAGCAGAGATTATGTCTGATCACATGAGAAAAAATGGCGCCAACAAATTTTGCAAAGCTAATTAGTTTTTCTCAGAACGGTTAAAAGATGTAAATTTCATTCAAACTCTACTCGATCCATCTTTACACGGACAAAAATGTATAAATCGCTTGTTTGAAAATTCTTTGAAGACTTTTTCGTTGCTGAAAAATTCATTTTTTCTAAATCAGAGGTGAAAAAGCCGTAATTCTGCCCGTAATTCTCAATTTTCTCATTAGAACGCAACTTTTATTCAATAGAAATATCATATTCGAAATAAGGATAAAAGTACTGATTGGATTAATGTGTATCTCTATCAAAGTACTCTAGTTCTGTCGAATTTTCATGTTGAAGAATTAGGTTATTTCTTTTAAGGGATAAGCACATGGGAAGATAGCCTGCAGTATCTCCTTTCAGAATCTGTATCGTTTTGGTTACAAAAGTGGTTTTTTCCGGGTTTTGAGCAAGTTTTCTAGGAGCCTCGAAAAACTGAATCTTCAAATAATAAAGCTTTCTTCTAGATACTAATGCAATTAAAATTTTTCTAAACACACAGATTTGTAGAGCAAACGTGTCTGATCAAAATAAGACCTCGCTCAACTCTTTTGTAAATACCGTAGTTGATGCTTTTCTTCCGAGCGACAAAACATTTTCACTATCTAGCAAGAGGGAAACAGAATAACATAAGTTTTTGTTTTTCAGTGAACATTAGTGTCTTACTGCTGCGCTTTCCATTCCTCCGGCAGAACCCTCATAGTTGGCTTCACATCCGCTTTCTAAATGTTCATCAAGTAATTCCTTATACTTTTCGCCATCTTTTTCTTTTATACCTAAAGAATTGAAAAGGTAGAGGCGGAACAAACTACTGTAAAAGGTGAGAAACTTTCTTGTTACCTAACAGACCACAACAAACAGAACATTTGCGACTAAGAATCTCGTAGTCCAGGACTTTCGACGGATTAGAAACGCTGATAAGAGTGCCAACTCCATGTAATGAACTAAAACTCTGTGTCATCCAAGTGCCATCAACGGATACACTGATATCATTACTGCTAAAGTGACTTCTAGCCTCATTCGCAGCAGTGCTCATGCTTTTATCAGCAGCTTCTCTTGTAGCTACAACTAGTTCGTTTTCGTATTTCTGAAAATTTCGCATTTTGACAGGTGG